ACCCCAACGAAAGTATTTGCGAAGAAGAAGGTATAAATAAGCTCTCTGAACTGATTTATAAACGTGATTGGTAATCTGGGAGTGTATGTCCATTCTAGAAGGTTTCAATGGGCCACAGGGTTTGTGAGCAAAGCATTTAAAGTGTGATCGAACGGTGGCTATGGCTAACTTAGCAAGAGAATTGGCTAAATTATAAATGTTCCTATCTGATTTCATCTATTGCAATTTGTAAAAGTCGAGTCGTCACGTTTTTGTTCATACGTATTCTTGAGCATTTTGGGCATTTTAAACGCCTCCAGGTGTAAAGTAGGTTTACTACTACGACCAATCGATACCCACAGCTGGCTGCTTTAAAAAACCATAGATATTAAAATTAACCCTAATAAGCTCTGCGATCTTAAGGTAAGTTGAAAGCGTCATGTTTTCTCGGCCTTTGAAGTAGAAGTAAACCACAATGGCAATACCACCCTTCCTTAATAATCGATAAGCCAAGGAAAAGAATAAGCTCAACAAACCAGTTGCCATCTCTTAACATTTTAATTTGAAAACATGAACGACTCGTCAAATAATTAAATACGTATTCTTGATACTCTACTCTTTATGCCTATTTTGGCCATTGCAGTCCACGATAAAGACTGATGATTTGATGATACAAATAATGAATGGAAATTTGTCAGTATATTTATTTTCGCAAAACAGATCTAATACCTCGGATAACAGTGGAATGTATACAGGGAGTTGAAAATTGAGTGATTACACCAATTGCACATATTTATATCTCTTGAGCCGTTAGTAAGCCGTAGTTAGGATTGTATTAATACTATCGAATCACTTTGTGTCAAATTTTCTTCGATTCTATTTTAGTTCAAAAGCCAGAACCAGATAGACAGCGTAACGCAAAGTATTTCTTTCCCCCAATTTAATACCAAAGCTCCAAATCCTTTGAAATCTGAAACCCAGGAACCGAAAGTCATTCGTGCAACATCAGCAGGATCAGTCTCAAGACGATCGACAGTGGCAACTGCTGTGTTACCTTCCTCGAATTCAATAAATGGAAATTTGAATTCAGAGGAAACGCCGTCTAATACTCTGCCTATTCGTCTCCCATCTCAACCCTCATCAGAAAATATCAGCGGCTGTAATGGAAGTAGTAATAGCAATAGGTGAGATGATGCAAAGTTAGTTGAATTTTTCGAAACCTGTTCTATTAGTAAAGTTCTTCAATTTTCAAGCAAATTTAGCCTGGGGTTTATATTTATTGCCCAAAGTGGCAGAAAGTGGAGAGGGAGAACAGAAGAGTGATTAGTAGATGTAAAAGTGACAGACATAAAGGCAGAGAAAAGGTAAGATGAGTACTGTGAAAGTGGTCGAATATGACATACAGTGGGGTGATGATAGTTTAAAGTCAGAAATTGTGACATATAGTGGGGTGAGGGTAGTTTGAAGTCAGAAGTCCACTGCCGGTTTATAGACTTTTTGCCGTATGAGTATACTTTGTAACATACAGTGGGGTCATGGTAGTTTGAAGTCAGAAGTCAAGATGTCAACTGCCGATTAATAGACTTTTTTGCCGTATGAGAAGTGATAAGTCAACTGCCGGTTAATAGACTTTTTTGCCGTATGAGTGGGTTGCCCAGGGTGCACCGCGTGGAGGTAAGTCTATCGCAACAACTGCCGGTTAATAGACTTTTTTGCCGTATGAGTATACGGTGCCCAGGGTGCACCACGTGGAGGTAAGTCTAAATATACATTGCCCAGGGTGCACCACGGAGGTAAGTCTATTGCACACCCCATGATACCTATCATAACGCCTGCCATTTGAAATCAAATAAATATCAAAGTATGATTGGTTTCAGGATGGCTTCTCATATTATGGAACGATTTTTGAATGTATTTTATTTATGATTGGGAGCTCTGAAATGTCTTCTCTCGCTGTCTAATCCGCTCCATATGTGCAATTCTTTAGCATATGCTTTTGAAATTAGAAATTCGATCGATACTTCTGGGAGCGAAGTTGAGCCAAAGGCGAGGAGATATCATCGTAAAAGAAGATTTCAAGTTATTCTCTGAGATTTATCAATCATCACTCTACTCCAGACAAAATCGATTGTAATTTCAAATGAAAAATGCTAATTCAGTGAAGTGGATTTGAGCGTGCAGTTAGAAATGCCTTTTCCACACTGTTAAAGTTCAGCTTCATTTTTACCACTTAAATTTAGTTGATAAGTCTATATTTAGCCCCCCCCCCCTCCCTCACCACCCTCGCCGCCCTAAGTTGTGATGTCCCTGTGATAAAGGGGGTGCACAATCTTAAGAAGGCCGAAGACAAAGTGACTCGAATCGTACTGCATGTGTTCCTTTATAGACTGCTTTAAATGTAATTCATATCTTTATGAAATCTGCTCTTTTATTGGACTTTTCTCCTATGAAGGCCGTAATGCTAAATTGATTTCTTTGAAGTTACTTCTTCATATATTTTTTTAAAAATGTATTTTAAAGATAAAAATTTTATAGAGCCCATTCTAACTAATGCATTCTATTATTTAGTCGAACTCCACTTTCCTCGCATTCTCTACCTGAAAGAAATCGCGGACCCATTTTACGCGAAGTTCGTCATCCTGATGGTTCAGTGAGTAATTTATCTCAAACACTACCTTTTCCGCTCATTTCGGTTTTAATAATTCTTTCAAACCTTAGTTTGAGCGTCTATACTGCGACGGATCACGAACCATCGAATATGCCAATGGATCAGCGAAGGAAATATCCTCAGATGGTGTCTCATCAACAGTCTACCTTTTTAATGGTGATATAAAGCAAACTATGGAGGATGGAACTGTTGTAAGTTGTCGATTTCCAGCTTATATTTCAGATGATTCCTTTCTACTTCTTGATGTTTGTCAGAAGAAAACAGGAGAGGGAATTACGGTTATCGGAATTCTTCTTGCCTGCTACAATCTATATCCTCATTCCAATCGTGACAATTGACCGATTATCTTTCACATTCCACTTTTTAGAATGATTGATTAGTTTAGTCAG